CTTATAGAGGTTTCCTGAAGGTATAGTTTATGTCTATTCTGTAATCAATGGTTTTACTCGTTTGGTTTCTTGTGTACATCAAATTCTTGAAGTTTTTTGTGTTGTTTTCTTCTATAAAAGTAATATTGCCTTGTATGATATGTGGTAAATTAAGAAACCCGCTTCCTAAACAGAGTTAAGTAGCATTAACAACTAATGCAATATGATGTTTTCAGGATATTTATCTTGTCAAACATTTTGGTTTTTTGTTTGGCTCCCTGAATATTGTGGATATTATTGCACCATTTATGTGTTGGTATTTGTTGCAGCATGTGTTTTAGCGTCTAGTTTCATGGAACTGATGTTTACTTCTAAATGTTGGTATGTTCAGTGAAGGCCTTCCCCAAAGATGATCCATCTAAACCCTGCAGATTAACTGCATTTCTGGGTTACAAAGCTGGGATGACTCATATTGTTAGAGAAGTTGAAAAACCTCAGTCAAGTGAGTTTCTTCTGTGTTTTCTTTTTCAAATTTTTTATCAGCTCCTTGGAAGTTAATGATGTTTTTAACTGTTCCAAAATTTTCCAGAAATTTGCTGTGAAAACAATTGTAATAAGGTCAAGATCTCTCTTTTCACAAATGCTCATTCTCAACGCTTGGTATGTAATTTTGTTTCCAGAGCTCCACAAGAAGGAAACATGTGAAGCAGTTACTGTTATAGAAACATCTCCAATGGTGGTGGTTGGGGTTGTTGGTTATGTTAAGACACCTCGTGGTCTTCATTCATTGTGCACTGTGTGGCTCAGCATTTGAGTGAAGATGTGAAGAGAAGGTTCTACAAGAACTGGTGCAAGTCCAAGTAGAAGGCTTTCACCAAACATTCAAAGAAATACGAGACTGAGGATGGTAAAAAGGATATTCAGGCACAGTTGGAGAAAATGAAGAAATACTGTACTGTGATTCGTGTTCTGGCACATACCCAGGCATACTTCACTCTTCTTTTCTTGGATGGGAGGGCTATGGGTTCTGAAGTTAGTGTTCACCTCTCTCTGGAAGCATTATATTTTTTCACTAAAGTTGGCTATATGCTTTCTGGGTGCAGATCAGGAAAATGAAGGGACTGAAGCAGAAGAAGGCACATTTGATGGAGATTCAGGTCAATGGTGGTGATGGCACCAAGAAGGTTGATTATGCATACAGTTTCTTTGAGAAGCAGGTTCCTGTGGATGCTGTTTTCCAAAAAGATGAGATGATTGACATCATTGGAGTGACCAAAGGTAAGGGTTATGAGGGTGTGGTCACTCGATGGGGCGTCACCCGTCTTCCTCGTAAGACCCATCGTGGCCTTCGAAAAGTTGCATGTATTGGTGCCTGGCATCCAGCTAGGGTTTCGTTTACTGCTGCCAGGGCTGGGCAGAATGGTTACCACCACCGCACGGAATTGAACAAGAAAGTTTACAGGGTGGGGAAGGTTGGCCAAGAGACTCACTCAGCCATGACAGAATATGACAGGTTTGTTGTGTCAATGTCTCATTTTAGTGAGATGAAACCCCTTTTGGTTGGCAGCTCCTGGTTTATCAAGAGACTGTGTTTTCACGACAATATCATCGTATAAGAACTTAGATTGTGAGGACAGTTGATGTTACAGCAAAATCAACATTCTTATTGATTGGATTTTCTGTGTTTTTCAGGACTGAAAAGGATATAACGCCAATGGGAGGATTTCCCCATTATGGTTTGGTGAAGGAAGATTATATCCTGATCAAGGGATGCTGCGTTGGCCCAAAGAAGCGTGTTGTAACTCTAAGGCAGTCGCTGTTGAATCAGAGACTTCAAGGGTTGCCCTGGAGGAGATTAAGCTCAAGTTCATTGACACATCTTCCAAGTTCGGCCATGGTGGGTTCCAGACAACCCAGGAGAAGGCCAAGTTCTACGGGAGGCTTAAAGCTTGATTAATAATATGCAGATTTGCTTGTTTATCTCCAGCTCACTTAATGTTATCTCTTTTCCAGCATCGATAATCTTGTTTATTTTACTTTGGTTTATTATGCTCTTTGAACTTTTCTATCTTGGCAATTTTAGTTATAATTAAAGAAACAATAATTAAAAATAATAATAACAACTTTTGATGAATCAACTTCAGCCATGTGAAAGAGTTAAGAGTTATATCAATATTTTAGAAATTTAAGAACAGAAATTAAATTAATATTTTGGGGATTTTAAATTAATTAAAATAACAGAAATTACCTACTAATTGGTATTATTATTACTGCTATTTAAGCTCTTCCTTTTAGCATTTGGGTGTAATGATATATCAATTAAAGTACTAATATATTAAGTTGTGAAGCAGCCAAATTTTGAGTCCAATGGCAAACGTGTATTCTCCCTCTTTCCTTTATTTCTTTCTCCATCTTCTTACACACACTGTTTTTTGGATCTATAAGCGCTTGGGTCCAATTATTTGTCGTTGTAGGTACATTTTCTCTTTAGCTTAATCTATTAATGCCATGAGTTCTACTGTTCTTTTGTCTCTACTTGTACTTGCAACAATATGTTTTTTATGATAATAAAAGCTATTATGAAATATATATCTATATACTAAAAATAATTTCACTAAGAAAAATAATTTTACTAAAAATATTTTCCTACATTCTTGAATAATAGAAATTGCTTCACTAAAAATAACATTATTTAATTGTTAAATTTTTTTTTTTAAAAAAAAAGAGGAATAAAACAACTTAATGGAATAATTAAGTAAACAGTTCTAAAACAACTTCACTACAAGTATTTGTACTTTTTCCCTGCATGGTAGTGATAGCTTAATGTTTTTCTGGTGAATGTGTTATGATTTTCCTTCTATTCAAGTCAACTTATGACAATTTTGTGTTATTTTTATGTATAGTTGGGATGCTTTCTAAGCTTTGCGAGTTACAGCTCATAACTTGATGCTTATATTTGAGATTTGTAACGTTATACATCTAAAATTTTCATGTTATTCATAAAGTTCTTTCTTTTAAAACAAAGTAGTTCCATAAAAAGTTAAATTATATATTACATATAACATATGCATCTATTGTATACATAGACAATTATGTAAATATATGCATGCATGTATACCAACATTTATAATAATACCATTACATAATAAAAAAAATATTATAAAACTTAGATTACTTAACTCTACTATATTTCTTTATTTACATTTTGACTTAAATATATGTTTTTTGAAGATAAATATAATGTAATATATATGTAAAAAATATTACTTTTAGATAAAAAATAAATAAATAAATATAACATCCTGCATCCCTATAAGGGCACGGGCACACAGAAATCAGAGTAATAATTATCAAAAAATTTTATTTTCGCAGCAATTCACATAATATAAAATTATAACATTCTAATCATCTCTTTGACATAATATAATTGAAAACTAGATATGAGGCTTCACAAGTCTTTAACTTTCTCATTTTTTTTCAATAAATTGTTCCAAAACAGTCCTCAAATAGGTCCAACACAGCCTAGCTCAGGTCTCAACGGTTATGCTCTTACCCTGTTGTCTTCACAGATCCTTAGATTGACCTGAAATGGAGGTGTGAGTTAGAATGAATCACATATATATATATATATATATATATATATATATATATATATTATTTTAAATTTGATCTCCAGAGATATGTTGTTCCTAGGTCGTTATTTTAAAGTCTTGATGGAAATTTTAAATTTAATTTAAATCTCCTAAAACTTTTAACATTCTTTCTAATTTTTCATTCTCCTTCCAAAACCGCCCCGAGGGTCACATGCTTCATGTGGGGGGTGTCACAATAAATATAATTTTTTTTTAAAGAAAGGGAAAAACCAAAAACGATATACACTTCAAAGAAAAAATATCTAACATTTACAGATTACTCTTCATTTAAAGTTTGAAATATTAATTTTACCTTGCTTTGGATTCATGTGGGGTGTTCGTTCAGATTCTTCAAAAAAAAGATTTAAGATGCTCGAGTTTGCCATCAGCGCTTCTAATAATTGATTTTCCACCACGGTTTCTCTTTGAATATGTGCTAGCCTGGTGAGGTGATTATTATAGAATTGTTTCATATGATTTATCTCCCTTTGTCTCTCTTCAAATTCACCTGTCAATGCACGTTTTATTTTTGTTGTAATTACTTTTGCAAACTTATGCATGTGTATCTATGCAAGTGATTGTTGTATACTGTAGTGGTTTGTTTGGAATTTTAATAAGTTTACCTTGTTTTGCAAAAAAAAAAAAAAGAAAGGAAAAAAATGCATTTATGTGAATACATATAGTAAATGTGTATATAAGAGGACACTTCCCAAAAACATGTATATATAAGTGAACATACACATAGATTTTCTGATGAAGACATTAAAATGCATATAGAGGGAGAGAGAGAGAGAGAGAGAGAGAGAGAGAGAGAAAGAAAACTTACCAAACCGAAATGTGGAGTTATTTTTAGAGATAGCTGACATGTTCATTGAGCTATCCTTCTTCTCCATTAGCGAAGTACTTCCCTTATCTTCAGAGCTTTCAATTTGTGAAGCCATCTGACTCAACATACATGGGAAATATGTGATAATAGATATGTGTTTTCATGCATATGCATATGTAGTTGTTATCAACATATTAAAATTAGGAAAAATAAATTTAATATATATGTATCTGTATTTTTTTTCCATAAATGCATGAGCTTTTCCATATAGGAAGAAGATTGAACCTTTTGTTGTTTATATTCTTGTTCAGAACACAGCTCGTTTGATGAAGTCCTAAAAAAATCAGCGTATGTTATTAATGCTTTAATTACGTATTAATAGAAAAAAATTAAGTTGCATAAAACTAATATGAAAATACAAAATGGTGATCATTTACCTCTTGTTCCTCCTGGGATCCATGTTAGTACTTGAGTTACTAGCGAAAGACTCATCATCAGTACCATTACCATCATCACCAGTAGATTTGACATTATATTTGCCCATTTTCCATATCTTAAAATTACTTGGGGCTAAAGTGATATTGGTTGGTGTTAATTTAATGGGCGAGAACTTTTCAGGCCAGTAAAATTTCAGTGGGTTGCCTCTACTAGAAATTTTCTTGTCAGCTTTCTCCATTGATTCTTGTTTATCAATCACCTACAAATGACCAGCGGCAAAGAAAGAGATAATCAAATCAAGACAAAACCTTAAAATTAGAAGAAATGAGTTAGAGACTTACAAAAGGAAAGGGAATTTCCAAACACACAAAAAAGATTATAGAACTTTTTTGGAGATTAAGAAGGTAGTTGTACTCTTTCATTTATACGGACAAAAACAGCTGCCTCCATATAAAATGTAACTAGTCTACAAACAATGAATGGTCAGTTTGGTGGATTTCCATTTTTAGAGATAAGATGTTGTTCAAAGACAAGTACGCAATTATCACTAATACGTCTCTTCTCTAATATTGCTTGATGAAAAAACTTGGTATTATTATCCCCATCTCCCAGCCAATTGATTCCAGATCTCTGTCTCCAAATACTCTCCTCGGTCTATAGTAAGCTCCATCTTTCCATTCTCTTTTCAGCAGATTATTTTGTTTAACCTTTATTGCCTGGTTGATTTCCTTATTCAGATCACTGATCCTGCCCTCTAACTTCCTAAGTTTCTGTCTCTACCACTCTCTTACATCATGTTTTAATAACCTTATGTAACTTGCTAGAAGAAAACTAGTAGACCCCTTGATGTTATATGAACTCCAATGATGCTACATATACAAATAGAAATTTCTATCCTTTAAAACAGTATCAAACGACCTAAAAGCCTTCGGAGTCCAATTAATATTAAGTAGGATTAACAAAAGTTGGGAGTGATCAAAATATATTATTATCAATAGCAAAATGAGAAATGTCCAAGAACTCATAAAAAGCAGGACTTGTGATAAAGTGATCCAGTCTGCTAAATGTCGTCCTATCCCTGAAATTAGCCCATGTGAAAGTGTGAGCAGCCATGGTCAAATCACATAGATCAAGTCTCCCCACAAAGTCCACAAAAATCTTCATCTCTACAAGCATGTTCACTTTAACCCAATTGTCGCCCCTGGCTCCAACATAACATTAAAGTCCCCTCCAATACAGATATGCATTTGACTCGGACAAATGGTAGAAGCAAGATCCTCCCACAACCTTTTCCTCTCTTGGTCATTACATGGGTTATACACATTA